AGAGCGTGTAATACTTTGTTACAAAAAAAAAAAAGAAAAAAATCACGCGGATCGGTAGATATATAATTACAATCGAGAAAACCGTTCAGTAGCAGACTTGACGATAATAGATGCAGTCTGGTGAGTCTTCACTTTGAGTCAAGTCTGATGCACGGCGGGTATGCATATTTTACTGAGATGGATGCGTTTCCCGCGAGCGCGTACAATGTAATACTTAACTCGGCTCGTGGGGTGCATCTGCTACCCTTCGTACATTAATCCCCGTCGAGTCTCGCAGTTCCCATTAAGCAAATCCACATACAAATGAACCGTCTTCGAACGTATGGTAGACGTTGGCTCGAGAAATTGATACGATCGTTTATCGGGAGCCAATTTGACCGTGGAATTCAAGTTTAATATCCGCATGGGAGTTGGGCTTATACTTTTCCGGAGATGTAAATATACAAAAATATTGCGATTTACATGGTAATTTGATAAGTAGTTTCGAAGTAATTTTCTTTCGTATACTATATGTTTACTGATATTCAAATATCGCATAATCTCTATGCAAGGACGATTATTAGCACAATCTGTTCGCTCTCTTCATAAATTGTCTCTGCGCTTGTTAACGTTAACTGGATACCTCGCGCATGAATTTACATGTAGATTAAGTACACGAAACTTTCGTAGAAACTTTGAAATCTTTCTTGTGAAAAATGTAGTTATGTCGGGCGGTTTCTTTGCATTCGAGACGTAGTTTCTTGAGCATAATTTGAAATCGAAATAAATTATATAAGTGGCCTAGAAACATCGATGCGAATATTGCACAAAATGCGTTATCCGATTCTTCTTGCAGCCCGACATTGATCCAATCAATTGACTTCAGTTTTCAGAACAATGAAAACAAATAAAACGGACTGGAAAATATCCGCGACCCGGATTACAGCGCTCGCATTGCTGAAGATTTAATATCGCGTGATAATGAAACGAGGTAGAACGTCGACATTTCCGAATGTCCGCTTCTTGTACCGGTTTCTTATTTCTGATTGTGCCTTTTCAACTCGATAGACTGGGAAAACGGGAACAGCGGGAATATCTATTTCGTCTCGAATTCGACTTCTCTCTCTCTCTCTCTCTTTCTCTTTCTGCTTTCTCATTTCAACGTTTTCTCGAGAATAACGACTTTCTAGTGGCAGGAAAATAAATTGGCTGTCGCGAGGTTTACAGTTGTGCCGATCGATTTCGCAGATAGATTTTAGATAGGTCCATTTATTTGCGAGCCGCCGAATGAAGATTTTTCGCGAGACCTTCTTATGCGTAAAAGAAAATTTTGGGTGCACGATAAAAGCAGTAAAATCACCGAAAAAGAATTATATGAGAATATTTTTCTATAGGTAAGAAACGGTGTGTGTTTGTGTGTGTGTGTGTGTGTGTTTACAGAATATCTTTTTTTATTACTATATAAAGCAAAAAGAATTAAGATTAATTTAAAACGCACAAAAAATAAATATCAAAATATAAAAGCAAGCAGAGAAATATTAAAGATGATACTTATAGAATGTTGTTTAAATAATGATATATTTATTATAACGATTTCTTATATATTAATTTCGTTAAAACATATATAAGTACCGAGTTTTATTATGCCTGGTATATTTTCGTTGCTCTAATCTTGCGATACTGAAATCCAGAAGGATTTATATGTGATCCCCGACTAATTTTGCGAACGTAGACTTTTCCAACCACGTGCGAAGCCCAATTGGGACGCATTCACCTCGGCCATACGTGGGTGGAAACTTTCAATAAACGTGTGAGTAAACACGGCAGTCTATGCAATCAGAACGTTACGTTTATGTTTATTCAGCATTTCCAGAATTTCATACGTAGTAGAAGCGTAACCTTATTTACGCAGGTTCTTATTTACCGAAAACATTTGAGGCATATAATATCGTTTATCATTTCACAATTTTCATTATTGTTTGCAGACAGACCGGCAAATATTGATTATTAAACTCATATTCGTATACGAATAACGTCGGAAGAATTCAAAGCGCGCGCTATCGTCGAATGAAATTAATTAGCGCGAGCGTAGAGGCCAACAGTCACTGTTTATGATATAAAGTTAAAATATACGCAAAACTAATTCTTCCTTCGAATCATATTCATTCTTTCCAAGATTGTCTAATTTAACATTTTCTATTATACGTATGTATGTCACGAAAAAAAAAAATATTTTCAAGACATTATTAACAATTAATAATTAACAAAACGCCATTGAGCTCGTAATGCACTGTTTATGTAACATTAAGCATCTCAGTATAGAGTGAAATTATTCATTCTGTACGTGATAACCAATTTGCGCTTACCTTTCGTCAGATCGTGCGATATGCATCACGCGAGCGGTACTTTTCATCGTCGCGCGCGCTTTATAATCGCGTCAATCGCTCAATTACCACCAAGCTCGCGGCACAGCCACTGGTAATTACTAGCCACGAACCGCCCTTGTACCAATTAACCACGCAATAACCACGTGGTAACATTGCAGCAACTACTGCGGGAGCAATTCTACTCTTTATAGTCGGCGGACAAGTCGCCGGGAGAATTGAAAGATTATTTCCTCATTCCTGCGTTCCGTATCAGTATGTGTATATGTGTACGTCTGGTACGTCCGTACGTATTGATGTATGCGTTTAAACGCGAATGTTGATTTAGACACGTGCGGTAGTGCCATGAGAGCGGAATGAGAAATGCTGCCGGAAAACATATAAGTAGAGTTCAACGAGAGAGATCGCCGGCCGAAGGGCCGGAAGGACGGTCGAGGACGGGTAGAGTGAACGGGGCCTAGAAATCGGACTGCGATGTGGCCAGGGCACTCTCGGCCGTCTCCTCGCGTCGTCATAAGGGCCTCGTCACCTCGCCGCACTCGCAATACGTCGGGTGGCCGCGACGATCCACACGATTGCTGATTGAGTGATCGCTGCAACAAAGAAAGCAAGAGAGATGGTTAGCGCGAAAGAGAAGGAAGGTGATGCTATATAAAAGATTGAGAAAAATTTCTTATATTACGTGAATATGAAGATTGAGAGAAAGTGGGAGAGAGAGAGAGAGAGAGAGAGAGAGGGAGAGAGAGAGAGAAAGAGCATATCTCCTTACATTTAAAGTCTACAGTAATTTATAACATAATAGAATGTTGTATAGTATTCAAAATTTATCTATAAAATTATGACAAATTAGTACCAATAGTGATCAAGGAAAGAGAGAAAAAGAGAGAGAATAAAGTTGAAACCAAGCATTGATCAGATTATTTTGTAGATATTTCTCCTTGCAGGAAAAAAAGATATTGGAGAAAATTTTCCGTTAAATCATGAAAAAAGTGCGTAGAGTCATTTATTTCAACAAAGAGCAGCGAGTTTAATAAGCTCTATTAAAATAGATTAATGTCCGCGGGTTACTAGTTTTGATAAAATCTACTTAAATTATATTAGATTTACGGTATACGCCGAGTGCAAATAATTTATTTTGACGTTAACTCTTTAGGAAGGGAAATTTCCATCCCGTTTGATATGACTTTCTTATTAAGGCACTTGATTAAACCACTCCAGACGAGACTGCATTCTTATAAATGCGATTCGTTGCAACGAGTAATTGCAACTCCCTTTTTCTCTCTTTCTCTCGGTACCTATTTTCTGTTTACTATAATGACTTATACAGCGTAAAATGTTACAACGATACCATTAAAAGTAACAGAAAAGTAAAACACACAAATTGCTTTTTTATTTTATATAATCACACTTTTTTTTTTATATGTTTACAAATGTAAATGAATGCATTAATTTAAAACGTGAAAATACGAAGGTAAAGGAAGATCTCTTTGTTTTAAAGTTTTGTTCTGTGAACACTTTTTTTTTTTTTACTTTTCTCTCTTTACTAATATAGTTTTGAAAATCGATGACGAGAACACGCGCATGTATAAAGAAGTGATTGAAAACGATGAAATACACGACATGAAATCACCGATCGCGCGACGTTGAACTCGCAACGATTTGTAACGAGCGAATAATTGAGTCGTTGCGAGCGAACGTTCCGCCCCGTCGTCGTTTGCACAGCGATGAAACGATCTCGCAATGCGAATAATTCTTTCGTCCGTTAGAGGGGAAACACAGTGGTTTCAGCAGCTTCGATAATATAAAAGAATTTTATCGACAGATAATTGGAACGAGATGAGATTGGGCGCGGTTACATGAGCGAATTTTTAAACCTTTTGTTGAAATTTACCACTGTCATTCATTTCAGGCAACTCTCTCCGTATATTATTACGATTATGTGATTGAATGACAGCTCATATGAATCCAATATATATGAATCATGTGTGACGTCAATGAAGCGGCATATATCGACAGTGTTCGTACCGTGAGTTGCAATATTACGCAATCATGTCACATTTTATTAGAAGCACATTGATTATTATTGGTTCCATTTTTTCTAATCACTTTCTAATTTCGTAATAATGATGGGAGAAAACCCGGTATTTTGGTTTCCCGACAGGACTATTTGGAAAATAGAATAGTTTGTAGTAAAAAGCACTATTAATATATTTCTGAATGGAAATATTTTTAACACTATCGTAAAATATTCCATGAGAGCATTTTGTTCTTTCTTTTATGTCTGAATATACTTAAACAATGAATCTTGTTAGGATCCATCATATATAACACTTGTATAAGTACATAACGAAATGGTTAAAATGCTGCAACGAAAGATCGAGGAATAAAAGCGATGTTTCCAACGTACTTTCCTCTTATTCTTTTATGATTTCATTGAATTTTTGCCGCAATGTGGCTTGCAACCAAGAGAAGAACTGGTACATTTTGATTCCCTTTGACGTTTTCTCTTTCTCTGGCACATCCTATTCCTACCGCCGGTCTACCTTTAGAAACCACATCAACCCAAATTCCACGGATTGCCTCTCCTGATTACGTGCCGCAAAGAATGGAGGATAGTCAAATCCTGGTTACAAAAGGTTCCATTGTTGGGTTGAGGGCCGCCGACGTTCGCTCGTGCGCTAACAGTCGAGCTGAGGCTTAAGAATATTGCATATTCATGCGGGTTTTCGCTCGTAATGGAACAGCTCGGTCATCGCAAAAATATGTACAGGGTATCTTAGAATTAAATGGACAGCTTACCGTGAAGCGTCCCTAAATTAATTCCAAGTCGACTTTGCCGTAGAGAAATAATCTTTATTATATGAGTGTTCAAGTACTTATTTTATTCAAGCAGGATAATAATTTGTAATTTTGTTGTCATAACATCGAAGATAAAAAAAATTTTGCGAATAAGATGATATTTGATTAAATTATCCAGTTAAGAAGAAATCGATTTGAAATCAATAAACAAATACGTTGCTATATAATTGGATTATCTCAGATGTTTTGTAATATGGCACGAATGAAAAAACAGTGAAATATTGTAAAAGCATAAAATAATTCTCGCGAAAGATTAAAACCATCTACGGCCGTATAGAATTGACATAAAGTGCTTGAGGAGAAATAACGAAGATAAGCATGTCGAGAGAGTTGGCGGAAGAGATGATGACAAAAGGAGGTGGTAGCGAATCGCCGTGGGTGATGAGAAAAAAAAAGAATTCTGAATGCGATATCACCCTGACCTACATCGCCCCGCTGAAAAAGAGCGATGAATACCGAGTATGGCTATTGTCAGGCGCAGTAGTTATAGACCGATGGTATCGGACGGCGTCGCTCACGCAGTGGTTACTACTCAATAGTGGTACGACAACGCTTAGGTCAGGTCGCGTGCCGATTGCGATCCGGCCAAAGTGTGCACTGAGCATGGAAGAATTTTTTTAATTATTTGCTATTCCATCATTCGCTCTTTCTTCTTGCCCACACTTGTTCACTTATGAATCAATATCTACGTAATCGATATTCGTTATACAATACACGTCTTAAATATATTTTACTACGTGTGTGTATGTGTGTAATAACAATTCAAATAATTTATGAAGTGTGTACATAAGACTTGAGAAAAATAAACATGATAAATGAAATTGAGACTTGAGAGAGTATAAGATATAAAAGTGTTTATCTGATTTATGTAATGATATGTATTAATTTGGAAAAAACTTTACATGTGAGAATATGGAGAATAAAAAACCGAATAGAAGTGATATCCAGGTACGATAAAGGTGGCAAATCGTTGTATGACGTGACTGTTAGGAAATCGATAGCGGGTGAAGTACTTGTTACATTTATGAGCGTGCACAACGGGACTTCGATAAGATCGTCATAAAGTTCATCGCGAGCTTTAGCGCCTTATTAATTGAAACTTCTACTGTTAACTAATAAAATTACAACTCTCTGAGCGACCAGGAGCGATTTTCGCTGTCATGCTTAAAGGCGTGACGCATTTAAAATTGTAAGTCGTACAATTTAAACAATGCAATGAGAAAATTTATCACAAATTAATCTTCTCTTCATTTTTCTTCTTCTCCAATTGTGTTTTTTTCATTTATATTTTGCGAGAAACATAATTTTTGTTCTTAAACGAGAACAATATTAATAAAATAAATTGTTAAAAGATAGCTTGAATATTATTATAAAAAATATATGACACACACATTTATCCCAGATTTAAAGTATATTAACTAAAAAAAAAAAAAAACATTTAAATCCCACATTCAGTTTTTCATAATCTTTTAAGCCGACGCGACGTTAATATATTTGCAACAGAATCTCGAATTTAAATTCTTTCTCTGTTAGAAAAATTTACCCGGAATTAATGCATTTTGAATGCTAAATTTGCAAAGTACCTTTAATAGTAGAGTTGCATATAATTAAAAACTGTCAGTACCTCGAAACTTTTTTTAACTTTCTCTATCGCATTGCTCGCGATGTTTGAAGTAGAACGAACTTTAAATAGAAGTTGCGTCGGAAGGAAAAGAAGAGAGAGAAAGGGAAAAGCGTCCAGCTTTTTTTATTTTTGCGATAAAAATTTCTTCGGAGATTGGTACTGGTTGGCTGCATTTTAAATGTAGCTAACTCAATTCCCCTCTTTCCCCCTCTCTCTCTTTCTTTTTCTCTTTTGTCCACCAACATATACGGCGCGCAACCATGGCCATTACCGACGAGTGTGACCTTTTCAGAATGCCAGCGAATATTACAAGCAGTCGCGTGACAGCGGGAGAGGCGACAGACGGATACGCGCCCTTATCCGCTCGCGCACAGCCCTCGTGAGACGCAAAGTTATGATTACGAGCGCCCGCGGGTGCTCGAGGGACATAAATTTTAGGGCCTAGGAATGCTCGATTGAAGTACGAAATTGGAGCCTCCGACTCTGCACGATGTTTAATAAGGACTTCGCCGTCAACGATCAGAAGGGGAGACTTCGCGACGGCCTGGAACTGACAAGGTCGAGGACGACGTTTTCTCAAGATTCGTGTAGAGTGACAGCACTCTATACGTGTTCGCTTCTAGGCGAACTAAGTCTTGAGCAATTTGACGGGACACGATGGGATGAAAGTCGAGATAATTGTGCTCTGTGGAGTGGCACAGCGTACTCTAATTTCGTATTTGGTAATGAGCCGTATACGTAATTTGTGCAGTCATAGAAAAGTACTATTATAATAAAGAGTAAGTGGATTTTTTAAATAAATATCTTTACAAATCTTACACAAGTATTTTTACAAACTTTTCTTATTTTTTCTTGAAATAAGATTTATATCAATTAAAATTTTTATCGACTTTCTTCTATTCAGTTGATTTCAGTTGTACTATGATGGGATTGAAATCACCGAACTTTTTGTTTGTCATATATCTTTTATAATTTATTAATTTCTTTTCCATAGCATAAGAAATCTTCATAGATGTTTATCGAATTGTTAGTAATAAAGAAATAAGAAAATAAAAATTTACAATGCCGAACAAAAAGTCAAAGAAAAAAATTTGTTCAAAATGTTTCTAT